CCACACACCCCACCCCAGGGCCCACCCACCCCTCCAAGCTCCTGCCCTGAGTTCTGCAACCCCAGCCCCACTGACCTGAATCCCTCCACACACAACCCCACCCCACCCTGAGCCTTCCATCCCCCACACCTCCCAGCCCCCTGACTCGAGTCCCGCACCCTCACCCTCTCCCCTGAGCCTCCAAACCGTGGCCTTAACTCCTCCACTCCCACCCCTCCCTGACTTAAAATCGGTCAGGATTGAACGAAAGGGAAAGCGAAGCGAAAAGTTCTTCTGCGAGATGAAACGAGCTCATGGAAGGAAAAGGGGCCTCAAAGGAGGAGAAAGAGAAATGGTGGAGACTGGATGAGGGTGAAAAAGAGCCAAGTCCTGAAAAGCATCATGGGAAGGAGGGGGATAGAGATCTAACTTACCCTCGAGGATGTCCTGGAGGAAGGCAGATGCTCTCTGAACCCCAGCAAATTTATACCCTCTTCTGGGCCGGGCCAATCTACGTCTGTATCACCATACATCGGAAGAACCAATCATACCGTCCCATGTTCTTTTAAAACAGCAGCTAACTCCCCCTACGCCCTTTCGCCCTTGCTTGAACCGTCTTATTATTAGGAAAAAAACCCAACCCGTGAACTCAAGGGTTTCCCTGAATTTAGCACGCGTACACGTGCATTTCTTTTACAAATTGCTGCACCAAGATTACTACCTTAGTAACCATAGTTCGGAGAAGTGTTTCCCCTTATCTCTCAGTCAGGCCAACTGAGAGCTGGGCATTTTTACACCAACCTGAGCGTACGCAGAAAGTGCATCTGCGAGGCCACAAGTCAGAGACAAGAAGAGGAAATGCCAGTGAAAGCTGCTGAAGTTTTGCATAGGAAGGAACACTTTCAAAGACAGGCCTTCCTGAAGGCACACACCTCCCTTAAACACAACGACAGCTGTGTGTCACGTTACTTAATTTTAAGGGGAGCAGCCACATCGCTGCTACAACAAAGGGGGGGTGTTTGCCCCAAAAGTGTATACAAAGGGGGCCATGTGAGGTGTCAAACAAAAGCCCACTGTCTACTGATTCTGTATATGCTCTTCATAGACGTGTATAATGTCTGGGGAAGTTATAAACATGTACTCTGTATGGAGACTGGAAGTTTTTCTATATGTGGTTGAGCAATGGGCGAGAAAAGCTCAGCCTATGGACTTGCTAATTAGCAAGCCACCAGGAACAATCGGTACCAGAGACCCACCTGGGAAGGAATCTAGGTGCCTGGCCACTGACCATGTGACTGTCTCCAGCTTGGGAGAGACCAGGAGGGGATATAAATAGACAATGTGGCCGACTCCATCTCGGTGCTCAGCTCAGCTCTTCATCCCAGCGGCAGCCTTGCAGGGAACAACGAGCCGGGAAGAACTGTGCACCCATCTGGAAATAGGAGGTACACCAAGGACTGTTAAGCCAGCAGCGATAAATCTGCTGCGAGCCTGCTTCGAGGACTGGGAGATTTGATGCATGTAATGTACGATACTGTAACAACTTCCCTCTCAGGCTTTTCTTTCTTTTAGTAATAAACCTTTCCATGTTAGATTCTAAAGGATCAGCTCAGCGTGGTTTGTGGGTAAGATCCAGAGTGTAAATTGACCAGGGATCTGTGGCTGGTTTCTTGGAACCGGACAGAACGCGTTTGGGGGAGGAGAGATTGGGGTCCAAAACCCTTCAACGGAGGGCAGGCCTGGGGCTGTTTGACGCACGGAGAGAGCCGGGATGTCCGAGGGGTTTTGCTCGTGAGGCTTTTGGCTGGCCAGGTGGCAGCTGAAGCACCACTCATGATTTTATAGACCTCTATCATATCCCCCTCAGTCTCCTCTTTTCTAAACTGAAAGGTCCCAGTCGTTTTAACCTCTCCTCGTATGGAACCTGTTCCAAACCCCTAATCATTTTAGTTGCCATTTTCTGAATCCTGCACGGCCTGTCGTGCTCACAGTCACTTCGATGCAGCTTCGCTTCCCGGCAAGATGTGACACAATTAACAATCTGTGGAAGTCGTATAACACTTCAAACACTCTCACAACACTCTCACAACCCCCACAACTGCACAGGGAAAAGCAACAGCTGCCTCGTCAGATAATGCAGGGCTGTAGCTCCACAGATAAACCTTTTCCTGTGTACCTCAGCGGGGAGAGAGGGGACAGCTTTCTGCCAGAGATAAAAGCCCAGACGACAACGTCAACGGTGAGGAGCAAGCCCCCTGTCTCATTCCACGGCAGTGCAAAGTCGAGAGGGAATTCCTGAGGATGGTTTCTCAGCACGCCTTCCTCATTGAAGCAAGCCTCCTGTCTCATTCCACTGCAGTGCAAAGACGAGAGGGAATTCCTGAGGATGGTTTCTCAGCACGCCTTCCTCATTGCAAAAATATGCCAAATGCACAGCCCTTACAGTGGGCAAATCGCTCTGCTAGATATCCCGGTGGTGACATTTCCAAGGAAGAATTTTTGTGCTTCATCCCAATAGGATCCTGCTCCACAAGAGGTCATTTTGGAAAAGATAAAAGGCTTTGTTGGAAAAATAAAACAGTTTAGCTCTGTAGAAAGGGATTTCGGCAGGGAAAGATAAGGCCTTTCCTTTATATTTGGCCCGATACACCCGTCCTTAAAAACACTTCACTGAATAATTCACCAGACAGTCTTATGTGGTAAATGGTCAGAGGGCAGAAAGGCAGGACCTGTGAGCAAAGATGGAAACAAACGGGTTGGTTTAGTTTCATAGAATCATAGACTATTAGGACTGGAAGGGACCTCGAGGGGTCATCGAGTCCAGTCCCCTGCCCCCATGGCAGGGACAGATACTGTCTAGACCATCCCTGATAGACATTTATCTAACCTGCTCTTAGATATCTCCACAGATGGGGATTCCACAACCTCCCTGGGCAATTTATTCCAGTGTTTAACCACCCTGACAGGTAGGAACTTTTTCCTGATGTCCAACCTAAACCTCCCTTGCTGCAGTTTTAGCCCATTGCTTCTTGTTCTATCCTCAGAGGCCAAGATGAACAAGATTTCTCCTTCCCCATTATGACACCCTTTTAGATACCTGAAAACGGCTATCATGTCCCCCCTCAATCTTCTCTTTTACAAACTAAACAAACCCAATTCTTTCAGCCTTCCTTCATGGGTCATGTTCTCTAGAACATTAATCATTCTTGTTGCTCTTCTCTGGAACCTCTCCAATTTCTTCACATCTTTCTTGAAATGTGATGCCCAGAACTGGACACAATACTCCAACTGAGGCCTAACCAGCGCAGAGTAGAACAGAAGAATGACTTCTCGTGTCCTGCTCACAACATACCTGTTACTGCATCCCAGAATCATGTTTGCGTTTTTTGCAACAGCATCACACTGCTGACTCATATTCAACTTGTGATCCACTATAACCCCTAGATCCGTTTCTGCCATAGACAGACAATCACTTCCCGTTCTGTATGTGTGAAACTGATTGTTCCTTCCTAAGTGGAGCACTTTGCATTAGTCTTTATTAAACTTCATCCTGTTACCTCAGACCTTTTCTCTAATTTGTCCAGATCCTTTTGAATTATGAGCTTATCCTCCAGAGCAGTAGCAACCCCTCCCAGCTTGGTATTATCTGCAGACTTAATAAGCGTAATTTCTATGCCAATATTTAAATTGTTGATGAAGATATTGAACAGAGACAGAGTATAGAAGAGAGAAAAGTGAGGGGGGACATTATAGCAGTTTTCAAGGACCTAAAAGGGTGTCACAAGGAGGAGGGAGGGAAATTGGTCTCCTTGACCTCTGATGCTAGGACAAGAGGCAATGAGCTTAAACTGCAGCAAGGCAGGTTGAAGTTGAACTTTAGGAAAAACTTCCTACCTGTCAGGGTGGTTAAACACGGGAATACATTGCCTAGGAGAGTTGTGGAATCTCCGTCCCCGGAGATATTGAAGAGCAGGTTGGACAGACACCTGTCATTTTTTGAGGTTTACAGGATCTTTTGAAAAAGTGCCGTTTTCGAAAGAACCGCATCTGTACCGTGGTTTTACTTTCCAAATGGTGCTTTTTTGAAAAAGCGCCATGACGTGATTATGGAAATGAAATGGAGGATATTTAAATCCCGGCTTCATTTGCACTTTCAAAGTGCTTCATTTACATCCCCCTGCCGACAGAGGGATGGAATCTAGACATAGCCTTAGCCTTTCCAATATTTTCTCTACATGGCTAACAATGTTTTCAACAAAAGACAGGACTACGCAGCACTTTAAAGACTTAAAAAAATTAAGCATAAATGACAGTGTGTGTCCTTATTTCCAATTTGGGGACAACTTCTACCTCCAGATCAGCGGCACAGCCATGGGAACCAGCATGGCCTCACAGTACACTAACATCTTTATGGCTGACTTAGAACAATGTTTCCTCAGATCCCGTCCCCTATGACACCTTCTCTACTTACGCTACATCGATGACATCTTTATGATCTGGACCCATGGCCAAGAAACACTGGACGCATTTCACAGAGACTTTACCAACCTACACCCCAACATCAATCTCAGCCTGGACCATTCGACACGAGAGATCCATTTCCTGGACACCACAGTACAAATCACCAGGGGTAAATTAGACACCACTCTCTACAAAAAACCCACTGACTCCTACAGTCACCTACATGCCTCCAGCTTCCATCCAGGACACACCATACGATCCATCGTCTATAGCCAAGCCCTTCGATACAACCGCATCTGCTCTAACCCAACTGACAGAGACCAGAAACTTCAGGATCACTACCAAGCATTTGTAAATCTCAAATACTCACTGGGGGAAATAATAAAACAAATTGAAAGAGGCAGACGAATACCGAGAAACCAGCAACTTCAAGAGAGGCCCAAGAAAACCAACAGTAGAACACCACTTGTCATCACCTATAGCCCACAACTTAAACCCGTCCAACGCATTATCAATAACCTACAGCCTAGACTGGAACAGGATACTACACTCGGAGAGGCTCTGGAGGACAGATCTATAGACTCCTATAGACAAGCGCCTAACCTCAGGATGGTTCTTACCATCGGCCACAGGACATACCACACTAATACCAACCCTGGAACTTTCCCTTGCAACAAACCGTAGTGCCGGGGTGTGGTCACAGACGACCCCTCAGGGGTACCTCCCGGGATACTGACACGGCCACTGCCACTCATCTTCCTGCTCTCTGGGGTTCCTCCCCACCCGGTCCTACTGGGCCAGCGCTGCTGGTCTCCCCCAGTCAAGACACCAAGCTGAGGTCCCTGCCCCCACCGAGAAGCAGTACAAACACTGAACCTCTTCAGCTCCGAGGAGCGTCCAGCCTCCTGGGATAGCACTCCCCAGAGGGGATCAAACCCCAAAGAATTGGGTGAGCCCCCTTTGTCGATGAACGGGGGAATGCGCACACTGGTTGCCCCCCCCCAGGTAACAATCGCTTACACTGGGTTTGATAGAAAATACAAATGGTTTGACGCTGTAGGATTGAAGTAGTAAGAAGGGAAAGTCGGCAGAGCAAAGTAGGTT